TCCAGGTAACGTTCATAGGCAACAACATACCGATACATCCGCACGTGTACTCCAACGGACACATCTGCCTGTCGATACTGACGGACGACTGGTCGCCGGCGCTGTCCGTGCAGTCTGTCTGTTTGTCCATCGTGTCCATGCTCAGTAGCTGTAAGGAGAAGGTACGCCCATCATGTCCCCACATAATAGCGACAGCTTGTATGGAAAACATTTCCCATTATAGGATTTGAATACCACATCTCTAAGAGTGTCTTGTTTACCTGTTGTTCACTATTGTTATTAGTATTATGTGTGAAGACAAATATGAAGAACCTTGATGATGATAATGATTCGCGTTCAACCTAGCTTGATCTTCTTTTTTCTCTATAGAATCTTCATAATGAAACAAGAAAATAGTTACACACAAGCACTGACAGAAACATTATAAGCTTGAAGCTTTAAAATGACTTTTTGATCTAATTTGCTCATGTTCATTGTGTCTATCTTAAAGTCGAAACTCACTCATTATTTTAACATTTCAGAAACGGCCACCGGATAATTCATTTTACGTTAAGACCTGCAACAAAAATCCTAAGAAAACGAAATGGTGGTATCACGGTACGTACACACTTACTTTTTTTTTATTCTAAAATGTTCAGGATAAGAAATAAAAAAGAAATACCTACTCTCGTAATTTTTGGACATACTTTGAGGTATGTCTATAAAACTTTGCGACCAGATACTAAGGAACGGGCAGCACTAGCAGCAAAGTTATGGACTGCTCAGTGACTTAACCTGATGAAAATCATCCACTAAATTCGTTCATACAAAAGTAGTCTCTAAATATTGGAAATAAGATCTATAATGTAGTTAGTGGAGAGCGGTCACCGTTGACCGCTTGGGGATATATGGGTTAAATGCAATTTCTAAACCATCTGCCAAGTGTGGGTATTGTAACAAACCTCTTCAAAAGAAAGATTAAGACCTTTTCAGCGGTGGTTTCAGTTCTGGCTTTAATATCGACAAAAGAGGACTAACCAGGCTAGGTCGTCATGCCGGAACGCCTGGTACGCTGGGCAACTTATTCGTTGGAGATGTTTTAACCGTATTATTACGCGTAGCTTATTCGTGGAATATAGAATGGAGGTCCTATCTATTGGTCAATCACCACGGAAATAACCACATGGTAAATGAAGGAACATAATATTCATGCATATCAGTATGCACTATAGGTACCTACTAAGAAGAATTTTACTGGATACGAATCTATGTAATGATTCCATTATTACATTCTACAAGTTATTGACGGTAATCGGTAGGTAGATTATGTAATGTGTACCTATAATACGGTTGATATTCTGTTTGCAAATCATTACAATAGTCAACAAATCGTCGTCGACTCGTCATCATACATTACTTAGTTCGTAGAAATAAGAACAGAAATGTATTGAAACACAAAACAATATGAACCACATGATGTGGACGTAGTGTGGGCGTTATCTGTTAGATAGTGTATCAGGTACAATCGATTCAAATCGCACTGACAGTGTTTAGATAACGCTATCACTCGCCCGGTGCAACAACCACCTGGAATTATTAGCCTGGTATGCTAAAATGTATGTATGTTCGTCTGATTTTGTTCAATACAGCAACCATTTCACCCGCTTCGTTTTTACTCACTAATAGGCTACTTTCATAAGGACACAAATTCTTAAAACAATTCAGTGTAGGCTAACGTTTATGGCTGAAGACCTTACCATCCCAATATTATTACTCTTAGCAGCAATATGGTCTATTAAAATAAGAGCTAATTCAATAGGTCAGACCCAAGATATTGTCTCATTCAACTTGATGTTTGTAGTTGGTGCATTGTCTAATATATTGTTTGTGTGGTTCCAGATGACTCCGTCTAACAATATACCGCGTCGCTGTATCGAGCATGGACGATAAATCTCAGTATGTGTTAAGTGTTATAACTATACGGTATGTTATTGTAAAATGTTATGTACATACGACGCGACACGCGACGACACGGCCGACCGCGCGAGCACCGCGGCGAGCAGCGAGCTGGCGAGCTCGCAACCTAGCGAGTGGCGGCGCTAAATTACCGAGTAACACGAAGCTGGGACATATTGAACGTTTGGGTAAATACATACATAGTACAATTTACTATCAGCTCCACTGTACAACTAGCTGGCTAACGACCATGTGTATAATATGTTTGTGTCCATTAATTATACTCGTCCGATCTCTCGGACCACGGCGCCACCTGATTATATTGTAAACCAATGAGTACATTGTGTCGGCTAATGTTTGTAACACTCGTTGTAATTATACTCAGTTTACCCAGACTGTTCAACGACGCAGGCGTACGACCAGCGACAGCTCCCTGCACTGGAAGTGTACACATAGTTCGTTGTCCAAATCACGTAATAATGGTGGACGGTATCAAATCTTATGAATAATATGAATTGTGAACGAGTTGGGAGAGTGAGGAGTGCACGCGCACGCGCACTGGACGCGGCGAGCGGGTCTATGTCTCACCAGCAGATAGTTTGTCAGTGCTAAATTAACGATATACTGTAAGTAGAGTAATAGGGTATCAAATGATTATGTACCGCATACCGGAGTCTTGTTCACGCGTCACTCATCCTTTGTTTACTTGTATATAAATTTGAATTTTTACTATTATTGTGATTCACGAAGCTGACTGCAGGTAACTCAGTACTCACGCTATGTCACTCTATGGTATTGGTTCACAGCTGGCTCCGACAATATCTTTGTATCATGAGGCTTCACGAGCATTTACTTTGAAATGTTACTGCAATCAATTTATTGAACGCATCAAACACCATTTAGCTTGTTAACTTACATTTCTGCAAATGCTTCGAGAATTTTAGTCAAAAACATCTGTTCATATAATGTAGTTGACTATTTAGCCAGTCATATAATTTTCATAGGATATTTTGTGAGCATAATGGAATGCAATAAACTTCAATAATTTATGTTTTTATATTTGTAGATAAATATTCTATGTGATGATGAATGTAATTTTGTATGAAATTTTATTTACGTATGTCAATGTCAATAAAGGATTCGTTGAATCATAGACTAAAATATACATATGCAAGGTAGTTATACTCTCTGTCAATATGTTGAGTGAGGTGCTTCTAAATGGGCCATATTTTTGTGCAACTGTTGCTGGCAACATTGCAATATTCTGGCCATTTATCTAAATATATTTGGTATGACCACGTGTGGCCGGTATGGTTGCGTAAATAGTTAGTTGCAGTGCAATATTGCGCGTTTAGAAGCAGCTTTCCATCGTCCTAGTGGAGGCTGGGCACCGCGTCCTACTAGTCTACTACAAAGTATTGTCAAGTGTTTCACAGCACGGTTACAAACTATACGGTTTCTGTAAATTGATATCGCGATATATTTCCCTATATTTTGCCGGTGCTATTGAGATCTCGATGGGTTCACAAAATTAACTTTCATTTATTGAAGATGGCAACATTTCGCATTAGGTTAGCAACACATTCCTGTATTATTAGATGAAAAATTGCTGGGTCATGTCTACATTATGATTTACGGAAATGCATTATAATTGTGTATTATGAAACAACCCGCTTAATTTATTGAAATAAAAATATAGTTAAACATGTTACCGTATTTTATTTTACTTACCTATTATTATATTATCAATTGCACATTGAACTCGCATTAAATATTTATTTATTTTCAAACAATCGTACAGTATACTTACGTGCTAAGTTATTATGTTACTTCTACTTTTACCGTAAAAAGAACAATAAATGCTTTTAGTTTCACAAGTTATCTTTTGATAACAATAACCTTCAAAATTAGCAGTTGTAGTACATTCTATCAAGCATTTCTGCGTTAGCTTTGTCCTTTTTATTTCTTTATAATTATGATTCCCTGTCCAATATGTATGGTAATAATTAAATATATTAAAAGTATTTGACGTATTTGCCTATAAGGCACTTCCAATAATTATGTTTGTGTACACGCATTTACTTATGAGGCACACTGTTGCTGTACTTGAAATGCTCGCCTCATATTAATATCTAATACCTGTAGCTATATACTAACTTTACAAAAACTTTGTGAATTTGATTTCATTGTCAGTCTACTAAGCTACACTATGCACTCAAAAAAAAAATACTAAAATAAAAAATTTTGTCACTATACTTATCAATTACTTACAATATTCAATTAACATTATATAGTAATACATTTTAAGTACCTGCCTTATTGCTTACTCACAACGACAATTTTGTACAGAGTCAATATTCAATTATTCGCCAATCAGATCAGTGCCATAAGAAAAACACTTACAGCTTTGTACACAGCAAGAAAAAACGATGTAATACTAAATAAACCTTATTCCTTTCTTATAGGGCTTATTTAGGCTCAATCTGCGTTGGACATCGATTTTGTTCTCGCCGTGAATAAAAGGTGCTACATCGGCAGCTGTCAAGCACTTTTACTATGTTTATTTACATATTCTTGTGAGCTTTTAATAAAAGGGAGGATTATTAATGATTAATTCGAGGCATTTTTAATTGAAATCTATTAGATATTATAATTTAAATTCACAGCCCAAAACCACACATGAAGACTTGATAACATTTAATTATAAGTATTTGAGATTGATGATAATAAATAAATTAGTACAGATATCACTGTAAACTAGATCAATAGAGAACTATTGATTATGAAATGAGAAATTTTGTGCCATTAGACTAGAAAACTAAAAATAACACAAACCAAAACGAGATAAGTACTTATTTATAGTACAAGCTGCACTCACACAAGTACAGGTTTAACATGTACATAACAGTAAGGCATCGTTCACACCAAACGTATTATCGGCCGCTGATTGTGAGCGCGCGTTACGTAGTTTATCGTATCGTATTTTCCATACTTATATTTAACATCTCAATCACACCAAACACATTATATGTTATATGTTGTCGACAGTGCGCATACTTACAGTCGGCGGCGGCCAATGCGTTTGGTGCGAACTATGCCTAATACTTCCAACTTATATTAGAGGCCAGTTTCCCAATGTCGGATTAGTTTGTCGAAAGGCTAACTGACACATATCGTCAAATAATTATTCATCAGTTAAGACTAACAAGATGTCTAATCCGGTATTGTGAAACGGTCCCTAAATGTATAACAACATTATCAAAATCAGTCACACAACACATGTCACGTGTTAATGTACACCATCCAGTTGTACAGGCAGCTTGTCCTGGTAGTATTCGTGGTCGAACCTGGTCACCAGGATCCCTCCAGAGACCTTCACATCACTGTCTGCCGAGTAGTCTATAGCTTCACCTTTTATCGTGCTCATTTTACCATGCACTGACTTAATGATTGCGTCGCCCGCGCACAAATCCCATTTCTTAATCGCAGTGGCGTGCAGGTACACGTCGTAGGTACCGTTCACCACTTCCATCACCTTGTATCCAGCGCCCGCTGCCATGGAGACTGTGGTCTTCGGCCCGAACGCTGCTTTCGCTATTTCCTCCACTTTCCCAGGATGTGAGCGAGAGATCACAACTCTGGGGTGTTCCTTGTTTTCCTCTTTCTGTAAGTATAAGAGTATAATATGTATAAAATGAATATGCACATATTGCCCCATTATCCAATATGCACACTTATTGTGTGATGAGGCGCCCTCATCTCGCGAGTGCGCTGCTCGCGAACGTGATCACCTACTGCGTGCGTGCATTTTTCATTCATATTCAAAAACGCACAGTTTGCGTAATGCTAACAATATTCTACAGTTAGAGATATTTACATATAAAAAATAAATAAATAAAGAATCTTACATGTGGCACAATAGGCATGTTGGCAGATGGTTTCTTAGTGAACCAGCCCCAGTAAGTGCGCGGTAGGAAGGGGTAGTGGATCACGCCTATGACGGGCACCCCTTTGATGGCTACACACACCATAGTGGTCACATACTGGTACAGGCCCTCTGAAATTTCAATATACAGGTAAATTAAATAATGTAAATTTTGGTTTCAAATCTCAAAACATGGACTGAAAAGCAACCCTAGGTACTGATATTTAAAGTTGTAAATACTAGTACAAAACTTATAAATTGAAATGAATAAAAACAAACCAGTTGTATGCAATCTTATCTAAATTAGTTCAACAAATGTTATTATTTTAATTAAGTGAAATGTTCAGAATCATTTTTATTAACTATACATTTTCTATATTATAGTCAGATCAAGTAATAAGCATGTATTTAATAAAGATAATAAAGATTCATATATACTAGTAAGTGTCTACAGGAGGTAGACAAAACATTTTTTTTATATATTTCATTTGATATTAATGATCTCTAAATTACAAAATAAACTCTAATCCACAATCATAAAGCCTAAAATTAATAAACTAGCCACATAAACTACTCCCTTTAGTATTGAATAAGGCATGTTACTACACACACTATACATACAAGTACACCAATAAGTCCATAGAAGTAACAAAACATTCTTTTTTTATTGCCTTATCAGCATTTATGGTAGCTATATTAATAGCTAACAATATCTAAACATACATTTCATTAACACTGCTATTACATGCTAAGTAAATAAATTACCTATTAGATTATTGTTTATCACACATTTATTTGTGTTTTCTATTACAGGAATAGATGATAAATTTGTAAAGTTTACCTGTATATTCTTTCGTCGCATCCAAGGGGTCAATCCATACTGTAACATCCTTCATATAAACTAATTCATCATTCAAATACTCTATTATACTGTTTCCTGGCAATGTTTTGTCTACATCTAACATTTGCTGGTTTTCACAGCCTGAACCACTCTTTGAATGCTCCTCAGACACCACCGTCAACTTCTCAAACGTGTTCTTTAAGCTGTAGTACATTGCGCAATGTGAGGCATAGTCTGCATCGGTCACCGGGTCATTTACACCTTCCAACGTTTTACCTTTACTTTTAATATTCAGTTCGTGACTATTTCCCTCTAACACCTTCTTCCCACCCATCTCAGCGGCTTGGATTGACGCCTTTAATAAGCTTTTTAAGTTAATAAGATCACTTTTCTCCAAAGGAAATCCAGCATTCCCACTTCGCCAATAAATTATTAAAAACAATATAAAACCTAACGTGAAACACGCAAATTTATTTACTCTTAACGTTCCACCAAAATTCATTGTGTACTTCTTTATTTACAAGAGATTTTACAGAATTTTGAATTTGTTTTGAGACGAGGTGTGGATATTTTTCAAAACACTACAGTGCATTTCAGTGTGGCAGTTGACAGCTCGACAATCACAATATGAGTTTTTTGACAACGGTGGATGATAAAACACGTTCGGATACGTAGTATAAATGTAAAAGTCGATTAAATAGTTTGTTAGTAACAGCGCGACATCTCTAAAATCTACCTACCTCTAGATTTGTGTCAGAGACAAAAACTTTCAATTTTTTTGTAGCTGTCACAGTTACCCATTTTTTTATCAGTCTGTGACCGGCATTGAACACGAGAGAGGAAGTAAACCTCGAATATAGTATTTATACAATTATTTTAGAAATTTAAATAGTTTCTGTACTGGAATAGTGATAGGTTGACTCCATAAAATGATTCTAATTGGTGTATTTGACATCGTAAGTTGAGTCTCATTAATATTTGAATTACTCATCAATCTCGCTACTATAGGGGAATTTTTTACCAAATAATTTAATTTCAGGCGAGTTGGTGGACTATAGTCATCGCTTTCCAAGTAGTTGTAATTTCTACTTACTTCTTCTGGAACAAAAAGAAGTCTAAAACCTACGATCCTCTATGTAATGGGAAGGCGATAGAATGGAACCCGATTCCTATAGTGGAGCATGATGTTACGGTAGAAGAACCTCCTTTGATGGGAAGAATTGATGACAATGTGTTGAATGTGGGAAGTTCAAGTTTCCTTGCCCTTGATAAAGAGGAGTCTATCATGGAGGATTCTTTGAAGTCTATGGAGAAATATGGGGTAGGTTCCTGTGGACCTCGTGGGTTCTATGGGACTATTGACGTCCACTTGGAGTTGGAGGAACGCCTGGCGAAGTTCTTGGAAGTGGAAGAGACCTGTGTGTACTCATATGGCTTCTCAACAATAGCCAGTGCTATACCATCATACTCTAAGAAGAAGGACATTATTTTTGCGTAAGTTTTACAAATAAAACTACAAATATTTTACATAAGCTAGTTAACAAATGACTAACAATTTATTTTTATTTGAAATAACATTACTGCTTAGTTCTCAGTATTGATAACAACTTCCTTGTAGTATATGTTGAAGAATGCACTCTATCTGAAGTGTGTTCCACTGTGCAGTATATCATCATGGCTATAATACCTATTTGAATAATTCCTTTATACATAATTGTCTATTTAGCCAAATTCATATTTTTATTAGTACCTAATGTTTCTTATTAGAAAGACCAGCTTCTAACTGTGACTTCTTACTTTTGCCAAGGCTAAATAAATGCTTGTTCTAAGTTAATGTCAGGTTTCAGCACCATGTATAAATAAATATGTTTCGTGTGATACAAAACTGGAGAAAATAGATATTATTTCCTTCAGTTTTGTTTTACTATTTGTCAGTCTCATTGAACAATTTATTTTGATATTCAAAGATTCTTCTTTGAAATATTAATCCTAACATTTTTATATTTTTTGATCAATGATGGTTTAATATTTTTATTTGAACAACCAATATTTAAAAAATGTAAACATTATACTGTATGTACTGAAGTCATCAAAATAAACATCTTTATAAGATTATATTTTTCTCTAGTTACTGTGTACAACTGTACAGTTATAATTCTTATTTATAGTAGGTATTAATATATATTGTAATCTGATGATTATTATACAAATAACAATTTATTTAACTTATTGTAATTTAAAATAAATGGTATGGTTTTGTGCTTTGGCAAATGCTAATATTTCATACATGTTTTTTTTATGTTGAGTTTATGTTATGATGTTGACAGTATTCAAATAGGTGTACACAAAAAATACTGTAGGTGCTGTGTGTGTCCAATAAAATGTTTGAGATTTATCTAATTATACAAATGCTCGAAAGTAGAAAAAATGGTTCCTGTAAAATACTGTTTCCAAAAAGTTTTAAAAAGTTTGTCAACCTCTGTTCAACCTGTTCTCAAGAACAAGACACTTCCAAAATAGACATTATAAATAATAAGTTATATTCACTCAAATATACAACCTCCTCGTCTTTGTTTTACATTGATTTAATGTCAACCACCACTGTGTGATTAATAACAATAAAATTCCTAACTAGTCCTAACATTTCAGTGATGAACGTGTTTGGTTTGCGATCCAGAAGGGTTTAGATGCCTCCCGCAGTACTGTCCGCTTCTTCAAACATAATGATATGGACCACCTCAAGAAGCTGCTGTCTGAAGCTCAGCAAAAGAAAGAACTGAATCCTAAGAGACGAGCATTCATTGTCGCTGAGGGCATTTACTTGAACACTGGAGAAATGTGCCCACTAAAGAGATTGGTGCAGCTCGCCAGGGAATACAAATTGAGGATTATCTTGGATGAGAGTCTTACTATCGGGGTAAGTTTTATAAATTTTACACAGCTCCCTTTCCACATTTTGGAACTAATACCTCAAATCTTGTTGCGGAGAACCTAACGGGTTACCAGGGCTCCGGCTTGACGTGCAGGAGAAGGAATGGGGTGGTTTTTAGTCAGTAAGAGTCTGATACTCCCTCCCGCCTCACCCAGGCGGGAGCAGTTATTCGATGATTTTCCTCTCTTAAAAAAATACCTCAAATCTTACTATCTTACTAAGTCTTTATTATCCATTTAATATAAATAAAATATAATATGGCTAATCTATATTAATAAAAATGGATCATCAAAATGTGAATGCATGACTTCATAATTCATTGCATCAAACTACATTTTTGTTTGATCATTTTTATCAGGACCATTATTTCATGTCACACAAATTTTATAGATTCACCTGGAATGTGCGCGCGTACCGCTACAGCTAATGATATATTAAAATGGCACATTAATCATGGCTTTGAATACAATAGCATTCATATCGTATATGGATGTGGTTCAGTAAAGAATAGCAGTGAATAAGTCACCTATTTTATGTTCCAATTAAATTGTGTAGCACTTGTTTAATTGGCTATTTTAAAACATTGCCTTTACCCGCGCCTAATGTTTTCTCAGAAGTTGAAGACAAAATTATTAATCTACATTCTCTACATTCCTGGAACTGAGAATTTTTAAATCAATTTGCTTCCAATATTGATATGGTGGTACATCCACAAATCGAACTCAATTCTTCGTGCCCCATGTCGTCCTTTGCGAGTGCCCGAAGGAATAACAAATATTATTTTTATTTCTTACACTAGCTACTTCCGCGCCGTTTCACACGCTCTGCTCAGCTCCTATTGGTCATAGCGTGATGTTTTATAGCCTATAGCCATCCTCGATAAATACGCTATCCAACACAAAATTATTATTCAAATCAGAATTGTAGTTACGGAGATTAGCGCGTTCAAACAAACAAAAAAACAAACTATTCCGCTTTATATAATAATAAGTATAAGATATAAGATTATTGCATATTCCTTTGGTTTCTTTCTAGTAGAAACAGTATTCTTATTTCGGAAATAGATCAGTGTCGTAACCTGCTAACGTGGGTTTGATAAAATCCACTGTACATCTAATATGGCCGGAATAAAGCACCTACACAACACCTACCTTGTAAAACAGCAATATTCTACCAGCCTACTCTAATAAAAGTAAGAAGTGCGTGCTATTAGCGTCATTTCTTTTTCTAAACAGGACAAGGAATTGTTATACAACATATAGAAAAAGGATAGAGGATAGATAGAGTGATTCTTGAGGACTTGAGGAACGATTACATTTATTTGTGACAACCGCATCAAAATGTATTCAGTAGTTTTTGAGTTTACCACAGAGGGATAGACAGACAGGGCTTTTCTGCTATAACTATGTAAGAATAAAAGCCGACTGGATCGTATCCTATTTTGTATGTACCTACTTAACGTAAATGCTAGTACGCTTGCACTTTGAAAGGACCGAGGTAACTTGATAATCAGATTATCATACGAATATGACCTAGTAATTAAATTACTTTAGGTATAAGTATAAAGTACCTATAAAAGTTTTTAATTATTAAATATATTTTCTACGCTTTATGAAAATTCTGGTCCCCTGTCGGGTCTTCTGTATACTAAAAATAATAGTGATGAATAAAAAAAAAATACAGTTGAACATAGGCCAATATACATTTTTTTATGTGCTATTTTGAAGTTTATTGCAGTTATTTAAGTACATACGTACGAATACTTTACGTAATATAAAACCATAATATTTATGAAATAATATACACTCTAGTAACGAAACGTATTTACGTATTGTATGGATATTACCCCCTATATGCTTAGATTAAAGCCCATAAAAATATGGATAGGTTCCGGCCAAAAGAGGGTAAGCGACATATTTTTTTGCGAAATCGACTGATCAACTAAAAATCGCGGATTACTCACGTGTATATACAGAGAAAAGCTCTACTAGTTTCGAACCACAGAGGGGTTCTTCCTCATGAGCAGCGTGCGTGATCGCGGCGATGTCCCGTAGTCAGTAGGCTGCGCGATTTTTAGTTACTATGTATGCCTCACGATAGTTATTATAAAAAATCGACTTATATTATGTAAATGTTAGAATCTGCATATAATATATACTTTATATAAGTCAATTTCACAAATACATGTCGCTTACCCTCTTTTGGCCAGAAGGCGTCGATATGAAACCGGTAACTTTGTAATAAATGTAAGAAAAAGGTGATTAGTTAGTACTTCGGGTCCTATACGCGAACTTCCGTCCTCACCTACCGCCTGACGCAGGTCCTCACCGGACATGGCAGTTTCGGGAGGTACCTGTGTCTGATGGGGCGGGAGGAAACGCCCGGGTGTCATCACTGCGAGGACCGCCCTGAGGACACGGTGGAACACACGGTGGGAGAATGCCCTTCGTGGGCTGAGCACCGCCGTGTCCTCAGGGAAGTGATCGGCGATGGCGACCTCTCGCGTCCGGGCCTAGTGCAGGCCATGATGCGGAGCGAGGGGGATTGGGATGCCGTCTCCTCCTTTTGCGAAGCAGTCATGCTAGCTAAGGAGGAGGCGGGACGCGTGAGGCAGCGAAGCGCTGCCTCCTCGCAACCCAGCCATCGCGAAGGACACACCGGGCGTCGGGGATCGCGGGACGATCTCCGGCCACCGTAAGCGCGGGCCTGCGGACGGCGAGCATGGGTGGCTCCCCGTCCGACCAGAAACAGACCCGAGCGTACGGCGTGTCGCGTTCCGCGCGCGCCTCAAAGAGCCATCAGACCACCACAGATGGGGTCCAATAGGGCCGATGCCGATTCGGAGTCGCGGAGAACCTAACGGGTAACCGGGGCTCCGGCTCGACGTGCAGGAGAAGGAACGGGGTGGTTTTTAGTCAGTAAGAGTCTGACACTCCCTCCCGCCTCACCCAGGCGGGGGCAGTCATTCGATGATTTTCCCCCCTTAAAAAAAAAAAAAAAAAATACGCGAACTTCAACCTAGTCAAGACCTACAATTAATTAAAATCTTAGGAGTATTTATTAATTTGTTTAATGAGTACTTTTAATTGATCAAATTAGCACTGATCCTCCGTAATGGTATTCTTTGCAATTCAACCTTGTGTAAGGTGTGATCAGCTTATGAAAATTAAAATATCAAATAAGTTTAACTATGTGCCTGACCTTTCATACAAAAGCTTATAAATCTTAAGAAGTAATTTTAAACAAGCAATATTTTTGTACAATATTTATGTGCCTGTTGGGCATTATCAGTCCTCATTGATTCTGCAACCAACGCTTAATTCAAATACAGCCTTGGCCAAAAGTATTAGGCACCCTATGAATTATTTCATATTTTTGATTTAGAGAGAAACAAAACTACTTTTGTTGATTAATTAATTTTATTTCTATTAAAAACACACAAAAACATTAATATTTTGTTGGATCACCCTTTGATTTTATTACATCAGCAACTCTGTGGAGTATACTGCGTACAAGGTTTACGCATTCCTCTTAACAAATTGCTTCCCATTCGTGAACTAAAGCAGGTTTCAATGCAGTTTTTGATGTTTTGGAATATATTTTGATGTCTTTCTTTAAAATACCCCACAAATGTTCAATTGGATTTAGATCCGGGAACTGGGCAGGCCAATCTAATAGGGCAATACAGTTGTCAGTAAACCAGTGTAATGTGTCGCTGATTTATGACAAGGCGCGTTTTTCTGGTGAAATTTAACCCGAGTAAATTAGTGTCACCAAAAATGCACTAAAATGAAGGTACAAGAGCACTTTCTAATACATTTATGTATTTTTCACTGGTTCATGCGACCTTCGTAAATGCACATTTTGCCGACTTCATTCGCAGCCATGCAGCCCCACATCATTATGAGGCTTCTGCCGTGTTTTATGGTTGGGACTACGCAATCTGGGTGATATTTTTCGCCTCTGCGTCGGCTCACAAACGTCACACCTGGTGTTCCAAATACCTGAAATAATAAAACAAAATTGTCACAATACAAATCTTTATAACATTTGAGTTTAAAGACTAATACAATAATAATCGTTGCAATTGTTTTATAGACTCAATTAATAAAACTTACCTCAAAGTTTGATTCGTCGACCATAGTACATTGGACCAATACTCCTCTATGAAATGTTGGTGTCTCAGAGCCCAACCAAGACGTTTTCTTTTGTTCTCTGCTGAAAGACACGGCTTCTTTCTGGCTTTGTAACCTTTTAAACCTGCTTCTATTAGCGTTCGTCTTGCAGTCCGAGCGCTTATGGGTTTACCAGCCTCTTCAGTTAAAGCTGCAGCAAGCTCCAAAGTAAAAGTTTTTCGGTCTTTGATACGCTCGCGGTAATGTTTCCTATCCTGGTTACTAGCAGTCACGCTTTTTCTGCCTGTTCTTGGTTTATTCGCATTAGTACGAGTCCCATCAAAACGTTTAATAGAAGATTGAACTGCGCATCGCGAATATTTTACCAACTTTGCAATTTCTTTCTGGGTCTCTCCTTGCTAATGTAAAAGTTTGACTTACACACGATTTTAAGACAAATATCGTTTCTAATTAGCATTTCCAAATAAATCTGTTCTCTATTTAATCAAAAAACTACAAATGTTCTGTCTTTATGCGAAGACTTCCAAATGCAGACTGATCAAACATTAAAAATAAGTTTTGTAAAAAAATAATATTTCGTTATTGGTGCACCATATGTTATACAACCACTTAAACACTGTCGCCCAATATCTTAAATAGTGGTTTATGACACCGAGATCATTTTTCAAAAGAATATTTACTAATTGTTTAAATAGCACGGGTGCACGGGAACTTTATTGGGGGTGCCTAATACTTTTGGCCAAGGCTGTATGTATTTTAAAGTACTATGCTTTATTTTATGAAATATAACGCAACTGTATTTGGAATATTTTTTATTCCCGTTAAGTAATTCCACTATTATATTTATTACACCATTATTATTAATAACATCGTTATGGTCTATCTGTTTCTAACATCGCTTGTAGCCGCGAGCCGAAGGTAGACTGAGTTCAATAGTAAAAAACGGAATGCGGGCATCAATGGAGGCAATGATTTAATAAAGATCTATTAGATACATTAGCTTCTCACTCTACTACTCGCTCGGTTGAAAATCTCGGTCATTGCGAGTGCATTCGGTGCAAACTAATTATAGCTAGGAGAAGTAATTTGCACGTAACGTACTCGAGTAGCATACACGTCGGTGCGGAGAGTACATATACAGTGCAGACAAAACATAGGTGATTACAGTTTAAAGCTTTATACAGACACTAGGTATGACGTCATGGTATCGCATGTGTTTGTTAGTAAATTCAGAATGTTTATGCATATTTTCGCCTTGTAATTTTATTGCTTCTCTGGTTGAATGGTCGCACTTATTAGGTTTATAGGTTTTTGAAATTTTTGCTAATTGATAGAGGATGAAATTATTGTTGTAATGGCGCCCTTAATTTGGGACTCACTCAACATAATGAACAATGACAAAAAATGGTTTCTTTTTATAAGACTTGAGAATTGACTATAATAATACTTGATAATAGATTAAACGGACAGGCAGCAGTCGGCACTTGTAGCTAGGTATATTTTTCACTTAAATAATAAAAGTAAAAACGTAAACAATGCACTGACACTCGTCTAGGTCTTTAAGGCCAATTAATGACTAGAGTAATTAAAAAAAATGAATCTGAAGCACTAATGTACCTATCTAACATTAGTGTCTACATTACTGAGCTAGCAAATACTAAGTTTATACTAAATTTTAGTTTTTGTTAATAACCTGACTGTGCGTAGAAACCTTGAATTGGGACTTTCTTATTGAAGTCTCGTAACTTGTAAAAAGTAGGTACTTAGGTACTTACTAAAAACTTCACCTTGACCTCATGTTTAGCTGAATGCTTGCGATTACTTCATTATCAAATTGTTTATAACTTTGTTTAAGATATTTGTTTATTATTTGGACAACCAATAGTTGATATATTAAATCTTATTCTAAATGTTCATGCAAAATTTTAAGTAAATCCAAGCCATGCAATTTTCAAATGCACATTCTTATTGCAGCAGATCAGTATAATAAATTAATAACTATGTAGGTACTTTCCATATTGAAAACCCACTATCAGCTTGTTCAACTTTGAACTCATTCTCAGGAAATACTTACTGACAGTCATAATTTATTGTTTAATAATATAAATAACATAAATTATTAATTAGGTGATTTTTTGTATGTAATAAGAACGCACTTAAGGTCGGTTTTTCAATCAACAGCTAATTCTTAACCGTAGAAATAACATTGAACATTTGACAGTCTTTAGAATAAAATATAACTAGCGTTGGAAAAATCGACTCTTAACCATTCATATTAGTTACGAAATATTTGTGTATTTAGTTGACACCTCGCCGATTTAAATACTATATTTTTTACGATTTGGTATGTATGTCCATCACATCAAGCCTGTTTGTTATGAATGTTATGTACTTATCTGCCTACATTAAGACGACAACCTACAACTTTAGACATACTATTGAACTTGTAAAAATCTGTACTGCTATTTCTGAAAATTAATAACATTTGAAACTTCAACCGAAAATCGAATCTGAAGCCATGCATTATTTTGAGTAAATTATTAAATAAATTATCATGTTATTGTTCTCAGGTATTAGGCAAAAATGGGCGTGGCTTAACAGAACACTTGGGTGTGCCTCGCCATGAGATCGACCTGATCGTGGGGTCGTTGGAGCACTCGTTCGCGACCATCGGCGGGTTCTGCGCCGGCACACACTTCATTGTCGAACATCAGAGGCTGTCTGGACTTGGTATGTGGAGAAATATATTTGATATAGGCATAACGTGACCACCGCGAAGAATAGACAGATAATAGTTGCATGCCGAAAGGTAAAATGTACTGGGTCAATTAACTTCATTCCAACTTATATGTATATCTACATTATTAGCAAATAAATGATTTCTTTCTTTCCTTCTTTCAAAAAATAGATAACAGATAACTCGTACTGAACAAAGTTATAACATACCTAATGAGGCCCTCTCCTTTTAAGGGATTGGCAGCACTGTAGATGCACAATGTAACACCCACTTTGCACCAGTAATATTACAACGTATAGACCTGAATTAACTAAAAATTACGAGTTACTCGCGAGAATATTCTGAATTCTACTAGTTTCGAGTCACAGGGACGCGCAGCCTACTCTGCGTGTATGTCTATTATAAAAACAAACTTCTAAAACTTAATCAATCCAGACTTCAATATTTCTGTGAACAGAAGAGCCATTATTATGTGTGCAATATGTATTTTTTTATGGGATAAACCGGTAAACGAGCAGACGGATCACCTGATGGTAAGCAATCGGCGTCGCCCATGGAAACCTGGAATACCAGAGGCGTTACAAATGCGTTACCGGCCTTTTGGTATTAGGAATTTGAGGATTGTTGGGGATTCAGGGATTGGGGAAAGGGGGGGGAGGGTAATTGGGCATCCGGTAACCTCACTTACACAACAAAACACAACACAACGTTGTTTCACGTCGGTCCTCTGTGAGGCCGTGGTATCACTCCGGTCGAGCCGGCCCATTCATACCGAAGCATGGCTCTCCCACACTTAAAATGTAATAACTCCGGTGTATGTTGTAATGTAATAACTCTGGTTTGCAGGATACTGCTTCAGCGCGTCCCTACCACCGATGCTGACCCAGGCTGCCATCTCAGCTCTCAACGTGATCGAAGGCAAGCCCTCCATCGTTGGGGAACTGATCGAGAACTCTAAGAAACTTAATAGGTTAGTATAGTAACATTAAATATACAGCCGAAATTAATCACCGACCTTTATCTATATCTGTATAGCACTTTTTAAGCTGCAAACGAAGAGGATGTGAGGATTAAATTATTTATTTGTTTATTAATCTTTATTTGGTTAACAGGGTAATTAATGTGTCATCTATCGATCATTGCACTGGTCTAGTTATTAATTACCGTCCGACCGTTATCCGGCTATCTATGTATAAATAAAGTTATCGCAAATAGCGTTGCTAGGCGCTAATCTCGAAAACGGCTGGAACAAGTTGGATCATTACTTTTTGTTTGTAGATATATTTTATTGTGATAATTTTTTACATTTAATTGTTTGCGTCTCTCATCCCTTGAGGAATATAATTTATTATAACTTAATACACATAGATCATTATACAAAGAGTTGTTTTAAAGACGCGTCATTTTCTAGGAAGTAACTCGGCTATCGATTCTGAGTCCGAATCAATAAAAAAAGTAGGTAAATATTTTTCATTTTTCTGAAATTACGGAAATCCGTAAGTGCGAAGTACTCGACGCTGGTCTTGAACTAGCTTTATAACGCGGCTTAACACACACAAAGTCAAACACATAATTGATATTATTCCTAATTCCCTAAAACTCCAATAAGAAACATCGCTTTCGCTTGTTCTAAAATACTGTCGAACTTAAACGATTTATTATAGCCGTATTCTTAACTATTGGCCCGAAATTTTCTCTTACATTGAACCTTTACGACTTCTGTGACATGCCCCCGAGAAATGACACGGCTTCAAAACTACACCTTGTATATATCTCTATACTAATATTTAGTGTGAAGGAAGTACATATGTACTGAATGCACTCATTTGCTATATAAATAATAAACTTGCCTAGTTTCCGTATAGTTGAGGAAAATTATTTTATAACGAGTATAAAGCATAAATAATGATGTTACCTCTAATAGGCAAGCTATGTTGTATCAAAATGCAGTAATTTTGCTAATCATGATAACCCACCCATTAACAGCAGCTCAATTTACAATGTTCACTTTATCTTTGTAGTACAATTTTCATGTTTGGTAGTACGATTTGAACAGCAAATATTTGCGAAAAGCCAGACGTCAGTCACTTCAAATTTTTATAGATACGTGGGTCGGATGACATAAATAAAGATATCAAAAAGTCGAACGCGTTGTGTGGTGTCGCGTGAGTGAGGTTACCCGAGGTAATCCCCATATTCCCAGTCCCTTGAAAGGCCGGCAATGTACTTGTAACTTGGACTCCTCTAGTGTTCCGAGTGTGTAGTGGATGGTGCCAATAGGGGCTACCTTTTCAAATTTTTTTTTTTCAATCAGTTCGTCTAACCAATTACTATAGTTGTCATAAAGTAAATGAACTCTAGCTAATTCCCTATTGAACGAAATCCGGGAGGCACACACTAGCTCCATCTGGCGAAAAAAATGGTAGCCCCATCGCTTACTATCAGGTGATCCCTTTGCTCGTTTGCCTCAAAAATATAATTAGTGTTGATTCACAGATAATATAATTTACAACCATAACTAATGAATGAAGCTCAATAAATCATTCTTAAACAAATGTTATTAATGATATATGAACCTATGTAATTAATTACCTTTTAAACTATTCATGCATGCAATTATATTGGCGTTTTGATAACAATATGACTATTCGAGTTGATATTTGATAAGAGTCGCGCGGTATGTTACCGGCGATAAAGCCGATGTCAAGGGTGTATGACTCAAGCACTCGGTTGCTTCATACATAATGTCTATTTTTACAAGGAATGTGTGATACTCGGTCATATTGATATTTTGTGTGTCAATAAATGCATGAATTTTGTATGACATGACTTATGTCGAATTACGCTACTCAATTTTAAGTCGCGCTTAAGTATAGTTCTGTCGCTACAAGTTTTTTGTAAAATGACAGAGATGGCACGATATTAAAGTCCAGTATTGGGCTGTGAGTTGTTTCGACAAGTATTTTTTTTAACCGCTTTCCCAAAAAGGTGGAGGTTCTCAATTGGTCTATATGTTTTATTTGTATCCATGTTACGCGATTACTCTGGGGTTTGTGGACGGATTTAGGTGTTTGTATTTTAAGTTAGATTAGAAGTTCTATAATCTATAGAGGAAGAGTTTTCTTTAAATACAAGATACTTTTCACATAGTTACGTTATCAACTCCGTTGTGATATGAAAATATTGCCAATAACTAAGTAAATTTCAGACCTCTTTGGTATTAGTATAAGTTTCTTAAGTTACAAAGGCAATATTAATTCACTCGACGAAAAAACAGCTGTTAAATAAATAGCAAGTTGTATTAGAATGTCGACGTTATCTATTATAATCTATTTTATATTTAAGATCATCAATGTAATGATATATATTGATTAAATACTATATCTGTCTTCATTTAAACAGTCTCTTAGTAGGTAATCATATTATAATCAGCTCAGTTTAAGATTACAGTCCGCGATATCGCAGCGCAGTATGTCACGCGATCATTAATTTTATTGCTCTATAAAATATTTCCTTCAAACAATGTATGCATGTCAATTCAATCTTAATTTAGCGAGTAGTAGTATATTTGATATTTCCGAAAACAGGAATGTGTGTTATTAATAAATTGAACACCAGGAACACCGCCTTTTGATTTTACTTGACACCAAAACTTGTGTATAATCGTACTCCTTTGATCTCTAGAGCGTAGGCGGAAATTACAGAGCACCTCAATCCTTTTATACTCTTTTACGGAGGTGAACAAAACCTAGAGAGCTCTTTAAGCAAGCACCTCATAGGCGCACCTAATTTTTTTTGGCGCCTCCGCCACTCTTTACGTAGTTGGACGCATGTGACGCGGCTCACCTAGGGTTGCCAACCGTACTCTAAAATAGAGTATTGTCCTCTATATCCTATAAGCGTACTCTATAATCTATAACACTAATAAAAAATAAGCTACAATTTACTGTTAAATTATGTTGGTATCCCCAAGCCGACTGGTCCTCGAGGGGGAAAGCGACCACAACCCTCCAACGTCTAAAAACAACAGCCACCGAAAATCAGTAATTTACATAGCATCCCTTAATGTACTCACCCTGGGAAAAGAAGAAAATCTTACGGAACTGACATATGCGCTAGAATGTATTAAATGGGACATAATAGGTTTGAGCGAAGTGAGAAGAATGGGCGAAAGTATTACTTGTCATCCAGACTATCTGTTTTACCAAATAGGGGAGACGCAAGGCCAATATGGGGTAGGATTTATTATTAAACAACATCTAAAACAATATGTGGAAGAATTCATAGGAATCTCAGAACGCATAGCGATTGTAAACTTGAAACTACCAGGATATAGAAAACCGTGGTCTATTGTACAAATTTATTCCCCTACAGAGCAATCAAATTTGGAAGAGATAAACAAATTTTACCATATTTTAAACGAAGCCATCCAAGATTACAGTCATAAAAACCTTATAGTAATGGGTGATTTTAATGGCCAAATTGGAGCACGACGCCCAGGAGAAAACGCAATACTGGGGCAATTCTCATATAGTAACAAAACCAGAAGCAGAAACGGGGAAAAAATCACAAACTTCGCGCTAGAAAACAAATTAACAATCTTAAATACTATGTTCAAGAAGAACCGAAAGGGCAGGTGGACTTGGATCTCGCCGGATGGTAAAACAAAAAATGAAATTGATTTTATAATGACTAACAGAAACAGCTACTTCACAAATTTCACCGTCATTAAAAGACTCAACTTCAACACCAACCATAGGCTACTCAGAACTGAGCTCAAAATAAATCAACCTAAGAAGAATAGACCGAGACGGGACCCAAGAAACACGAAACTCAACGAACAGCAATTAGAACAATTAACAACAGCCTTAAAGGTCGAATTTGAAAACTTCAAAGAGAACACGAAGGAATTAAAAACCCAAGATAAATACAATTATATGGAAAATGCTATCAAAACCCAAACTAAACTCATAGCAGATACTAAAGTTGATGCAAAAGGATTACTATCAACAGCCACTAAAAAACTCCTAGAAGAAAGAAATCACCTTATTAACCAAAGAAATACTCAAAATAGAAGACAAAAATTATCAAAAATCAGCAAAGACATCAATGAGAGTATGAGAAAGGATAGAAAACAACGAAGGATGCAAACAATAGAAAATTTCATACAAAAAACCGGTGGAATTAAAAAAGCACTTAAAGAATTGACTGCCACGAAGAACTGGATCGTAAAAATGAAAGACGACCTAGGAAAATTCGATCACAACAGGGTCGACATATTGAAAACAGCTACGTCATTCTACAAAAATCTATACCGAAACAACACTACGCAAGCAGAAATCAATCCAGTGGAAACCTCGAACATCCCCAGTATTCTTGAAGTTGAAGTCAGTAAGGCGATCGATACCCAAAAGGGCGAGAAAGCACCCGGACCTGACGGAATAAGCAATGAAATTTTAAAATATAACAAAAAGATCTTGATACCTATCCTCACAGATATCTTCAATGACATCACGAATACTGAAATCATCCCCCAGCAATGGACCGAGTCTCACATCATCCTACTATACAAGAAGGGTGATAAATATGACATAGGAAATTATCGCCCTATAAGTCTTATGTCCAATATATATAAGATATTTGCTAAGATCATCTTAAAGCGGATCGAAAGAACCTTAGACGAAAACCAACCTATAGAGCAAGCAGGATTCCGCAAAGGTTACTCAGTGATCGACCATATTCACGTAGTGCGTCAAATCCTGCAGAAATTCAACGAATACCAACTAACATACTACATTGCATTTGTCGACTATAGCAAAGCATTCGATTCTCTACAACATGATAAAATATGGGAGGCGTTACTAGAACAAGGAATTGAGCATAAGTACATCCGATTAATAAGAAACGTATATAGCCGCAGCAGAGCAAGAATCCAACTAGAAAAGAAAAGTACTCCTTTCAGAGTGGAAA